GCAGCGAATTTTTCGCTGCGAATGATTTTTAGCGAATAGCGAATAATTCGCCGCGAATAGTTTGTGAGCGTCGCACTTCGTCGCATTTGCGTGATTATTAATGGTTATACACCGTTTAAAGAATGCAATCTTATCCAAAAGATATTGGGAAATAAGGAAAATTGTTTCGCAATATCTACTAAAGTACGTATTTATACTTGGTTATATGCTTTGAAGTGTTTTTAAATGCTGTGTATTTAATAAATATACAGTAAATTATTAATTATCTATAAAATTTTTCTTAATCTCTTTTTAGATGGAAGATCATTCAGTTACTGGATTATGTTATATAATCAACAAATGCAGTGTTCATTTATTTATTCACAAGTATATTATTACCATCAAATAAATGCACGAAAATCCATTTATATATCTATAATCATTTATATATCCATTTATATATCTTATAATATATTTTATAACATATCTTTACATAGTATATAGTACAACATCCGATATTCCACGACATTCGCTAAAAGCTGGAAAATTTCGGCGAATAGCGATTACTGGCTAGCGAACAGCGAATGATCACGTAACCATCAATCGCGGCGATTTTTTCGCTGCATGAAAAGGCACCTTAAAGGCCTTTTCACCAATTTCTGATTAAATTAATCTATGATCAATTCACAGAAATGTCAACAGCAGTTTAATAAATCAGAATGTCTCCTCTATCTTCCTCTGTGTTTAGCTCTCACGTTGGCAATTTTATGGTGATTGAATTAACTATCGATTAACATTAATTAGGATTGGTGAAAGAGGCCCTGAGGCTCAATTTCACAACTCATGGTTAGGCCTTGCGCACAAAATGGAGAAAATATATATATATTAGGAATAGAAATAAATATTAAGATTTCGACGTATCAGAAACCGTGTATTCCGTGCAACTGATATCTGGTAGGTTGAATTAACTTTCAACTTATTTCTCAATCTTTCCAATTCTAGTATTAAAAAGAGATGAAGAATAAGTTAAACCTCGATTAGACATGAGTTGTGATACTGGGCTTGAGACCGTATACTTAAAACAATCTTAAAATAAGAAGAAACTGTAGGTGCGTTCGGGAAGAATTAGTGCTATTTGTGCTATTTGTCATTCTATCCTTGTTTTATGTTTAATAAATGATAAGGACAAAATAGGCCTGTTCTTTTTGGCTGAACTTTTGCACCAGTCACTGAGGCCCGTTTTTGGCTGCTTTCCTTTTAGGAGACACAAACCGACACAGTATAACACACTCAAACACAGTTTGCCACGCTTAAATAGAACGCGATATGTGCAGTGTGTGTATCGTGTGTACGAACTTTTAATACCTAACCTTAAAAGATTTGAATTTTGACCTTAACGGACATACGAGATCAGATTATTGCAAGGAGTGATGTGTATATTTTCGAGTAAAGGTACATACTTTGCATCAATTGGTGGAGGTATTCCAAAAAAAGATTTAACATCTTACAAGTTACAAACTTTTCAAAATTATTTTTAAACTTTACAGGTATTTATAAATATTGTATATCCAAATTTTTATCAAATAAAATATATTTAAAAAAATAAAGTTTATTATTATTTTTGTTGCTTTTTAAATAAAATATATAAAATTAATAATATAATATTTGAGGGAAAATTAACAACAATGCAGCGTTTAGCATTCGTCGACTAAGTACCGAGACACTACCGTGTCTCCCGATGCTGAAAACAGAACAAAATGATGGAAATTGGTTTGCGGGTGCGTTCTAATATCACTTAATTCATCAAAATTACACTTGAACAGACTCGAAACACACTCTGACTCTGCTCCCGAGCAGAGGCGAAGTGTGTCGATTGAGTTTGAACAAAATTGTAAATGGAAAGCGACGTGTGTCGATTTGTGTCAAGTGTGTCGACTGTGTCTCCTAAAAGGAAAGCAGCCATTATCAATATAGTTTAATTTTAATCTCGGTTTAACTAACTTTTCATCTTTTTCCAGTTCTGAGAATTAGAAAAAGATAAAGAGTAAGTTGAACTGAGATTAAAGTTAATCTATATTGGTAGGAATGGGCCTGAAAGGGCCAGTTTCACCAACGTCAGTTAGCTTAAGCCGCGGTCCGATACACGCTCACAACGCTTAAAAATCATTTCATCCTTGTTGTTTATCAAATGTTAAACGAAGACAAATAATGCTCATGATTCGGACCACGGCCTTAATCGGCCGTTGGTTGACCAATCGCGTTTGCTGTAGGTGTGTTTTAATAGAATCGACCAATCGCGGTTGACAGTTAATCACGATTAAGCTTGATCGGCGTTGGTGAAACCGGCCTGCAGAGAACAGACTTGATATTATACGCGATACATATGAGTATACGGGCGGTTTCCATGAAACCGCGACAAAGTTCCGCTGGTCCCGTTGGTCTCGTTCGCGCCGGGCGTCTCGCGCGTAAAACGACAGTGGCGGCGGGAGATCGCGTTACGAACGAAAGGGTATAGTTCACCGGGCGCGATTATCTCGTCGCTTTCGCAGGCAACGATCGGTCGTCGCCCGTCGTCGCCGTCGGCGGAAAAAGCCCAGCAAGTGGCCCGTCTTAAAGAAGGAAATCACCGCGGGTTCAATCGTAGGCCAAAGATCGGCGCAAGTTTCGCTGCGCGGCGACGGATGCGCGCTAGAGGCCCATCGTGACACGCTAGCTCAAGTCTAGCAACACTTTTTGCGGATAGAGTGCACCGCCTGGGAATTTGCCCGTCGGCGTTGAAGCATCGGTAACGTGACAGTTTACGACGGTTCAAGCAAGCCCGGTTAGACTGAGTAAGTATCGATCAACGGGGGTGCGACGGTCCGCCGGTCGATTCTCCGCGCCGCTCTATTCTGCTCTATTCGTTCGCACCTCTCTCTCTCTTTCTCTCTCGTAGTACCTAAATTCTCTCGCTCTCACTCTTTCCCGGAATCTCTAGCCTTTAGTAGCCACATAGTATACAGCGGCGATTCTAGGCAC